TCTACATGTGCGAGTTCTGCCTCAAGTACATGAAGAGCCAGACCATCCTGCGCAGGCACATGGTGAGGGCTGGGGCCTGGGGAGCCTGCTGAGGGTCAGAGAGAGCTCCTTCCTGCTGGAAATGCTGCTGTGGGGTCAGAGAGAGCTCCTTCCTGCTGGAAATGCTGCTGTGGGGTCAGAGAGAGCTCCTTCCTGTGGGAAATGCTGCTGTGGGGTCAGGGAATGGCTCAGTCCTGTAGGAAATGCTGCTGTGGGGCAGGGAATGGCTCAGTTCTGCTGGGGAGGCTGTTCTGGGGTCAGGGAGGGCTCAGTCTTGTTGGGAATGCTGCTGTGGGGTCAGGGAATGGCTCAGTTGTGCTATGGGGTCAGGGAATGGCTCATTCCTGTTGGGGAGGCTGCTCTGGGTTCAGGGAGCAGATGAGTGCTGCTGGGGAGGCTGCTGTGGGACAGGGAATGGCTCAGTCCTGTTGGAAATGCTGCTGTGGGGTCAAGGAATGGCTCAGTTCTGCTGGGGAGGCTGCTGTGGGACCAACAAATACCTCATTCCTGCTGGAAGTCCTGCTATGGGGTCAGGGAATGGCTCAGTTGTGCTATGGGGTCAGGGAATGGCTCATTCCTGTTGGAAATGCTGCTCTGGGGTCAGGGAACAGCTCAGTTCTGCTGGGGAGGCTGCTGTGGGGCAGGGAGAGCTCAGTCTGGTTGGAAATGCTGCTGTGTGGTCAGGGAATGGCTCAGGCCTGCTGAGGAGCCTGCTGAGGGGTCAGAGAGAGCTCCTTCCTGTAGGAAATGCTGCTGTGGGGTCAGGGAATGGCTCATTCCTGTTGGAGAGGCTGCTGTGGGACAGGGAATGTCTCAGTCCTGTTGGGAATGCTGCTGTGGGATCAGGGAATGGCTCAGTCGTGCTATGGGGTCAGGGAATGGCTCAGTCCTGTTGGAAATGCTAATGTGGGGTCAAGGAGGGCTCAGTCCTGCTGTGGGACCAGGGAGGGCTCAAGCCTGTTGGGAATGCTGCTGTGGGGTCAAGGGAGGGCTCATTCCCACTGGAAATGTTGCTATGGGGTCAGGGAGGGCTCATTCCCACTGGAAATGTTGCTATGGGGTCAGGGAGGGCTCAGTCCCACTGGGAACGGCCCAGCCAGGCTCAGCTCGTGCACACGGCAGTGNGAGGCATAAATACAAAGATGTTAATCCTGGAGGGTTTTTTTTCTGTTTTGGGAGGTGACAGGATGAGGAACCTGATAGGTGTGGGAGGAAAAAGTCCCAGGTTTGTGAGGAGGGAATTGGTTTTTGCCACAAACAGGATTTTAGTGCCAAATTATTGCACTCCCATCCCAGGCTGCTTTGGCTTAGTGTGAGGGGCAGGGAATGCCCTCTTCCTTTTTAAACCAGGAAATTTCCTCCTCCTATCCCCCTGTCAGTGATCCTGAGGGTGAGCATAGGTGTGGGAGGAAACATCCCAGATTTGTGGGCAGGGAATTGGTTTTTGCCACAAACAGGATTTCAGTGCCAAATTACTGCACTCCCATCCCAGGCTGCTTTGGCTTAGTGTGAGAAAGCTTTTCCTTCCTTTTTAAACCAGGAAATTTCCTCCTCCTCTTCCCCTGTCAGATCCTGAGGAACCTGATAGGAGGGTGAGCACAGGTCTGGGAGGAAACATCCCAGATTTGTGGGCAGGGAATTGGTTTTTTGCCACAAGCAGGATTTCAGTGCCAAATTACTGCACTCCCATTCCAGGCTGCTTTGGTTTACAATGAGAAAGCTTTTCCTTCCATTTTAACCAGGAAGTTTCCCCCTCCTATCCCCCTGCCAGTGATCCTGAGGGTGAGCACAGGTGTGGGAGGAAAAATCCCAGATTTGTGGGCAGGGAACTGGTTTTTGCCAGAAACAGGATTTCAGTGTTAAATTACTGCACTCCCATTCCAGGCTGCTTTGGCTTAGTGTGAGAAAGCTTTTCCTTCCTTTTTAAACCAGGAAGTTCCCCCCTATCCCACTGTGGGGTATCTGCCCACATGGGACACTTCCTCCACCTCTTTAGGACCATTTCTCACAGGTTTTGTTGTTTTTCTGACCCCTTGCAGGACACCTGACCGGGAAGCACGAGCGCCACTTCTCCATCTCGGGGTGCCCTCTGTACCACAACCTCTCAGCAGATGAGTGCAAGGTACACCTGAATGGTTCTGCCCTCTGATTTCCCCCTCCTTTGGGATTTTTAGGGTAAAATGCTGAGCCTTGTGATGTGTGAGCAGCAAACAGTTCACTCCTGCGTGCTGCTGTGCTTGGCTGTGGGGCAGCAGC